AAGGTAACTGAATGAAGTTGGGCTTGTAGTTCTATAAATTAAATGCATATAGTTTATATATATATTGTTAATAAAAAGCAAAGCCATGGCAATTCCTATGAAGATTAAAAAAAAAAAAAAAAAAAATTCAAAATAATGCAAAAAATTTCAAAAAAACCTGTGAAAGTTTGTGAAAGATTTCAAGTTACTAAACCCAACAAAAAACCATTTTTAGCGTTTTACTGGTAAACCTTTTTGTGATCTGAAGATCCCAAAAAAATTTATCAATAAAACACAGAAAGACTACGTTTACTACTGAAACGCTGAAAGACTTAAAACTACAAGTTCTGATTTGTAAACTGCCAAAAAACTGAAGATCCAAGAAAATTCACCAAAACACCAAAAGACCTAAAAACAAAAAAAAACAAAATTAAAGTCCAGTAAATAGCAGAAAGACAGATGAAATACTTACTAAAATGCCAAAGACTCTAAGAAAATTCACCAAAAATGCCAAAGACTGAAGATATCGAGAAAATTCACCAAAAGATCAAAAATTACAAGAAAACTTACTATAAGACCTAAAAAAAAAAAAAAAATTTAAAGACTAGTAAACAGTTGAAAGACAGAAGAAAACTAAATAAAATACTCACCAAAATGCCAAAAACTCAAAGAAAATTTACCAAAAACACCGAAGATCGAAGATTCCAAAAAAATTTATCAAACCGCCAAAAGACCTAAAAAAAAACATAATTAAAGACTAGTAAATAGCCAAAAGACAGGAGAAAAATATATTAAATATTCACCAAAATGCTGAAGACTCCAAGAAAATTCACTAAAACGCTGAAGATACCAAAAAAATCCTTCAAAACTGCCAAAGATCAAAGATTTCAAGAAAATTCACCAAAATGCCAAAAGACCTAAAAAAAAATAAACATAATTAAAGACCAGTAAATAGCTAAAAAAATAGGAAAAAAGTACATTAAATACTTACCAAAATGCTAAAAACTCCAAGAAAATTCACCAAAATACTAAAGACACCAAAAAAATTTCTCAAAATCGCCAAAGACCAAAAATTCACCAAATTCCAAAAGACCTAAAAAAAAAACATAATTAAAGACCAATAAACAGCTAAAAGATAGAAAAAAAGTACATTAAATACTTACAAAAATGTTGAAGACTCCAAGAAAATACACCAAAATGCCGAAGATACCAAGAAAATTCTCCAAAACTGCCAAAGACTGAAAATTTACCAAAATATCAAAAGACCTAAAAAAAAAAAACCATAATTAAAAACCAGTAAACAGCTGAAAGACAGAAAAAAAGTACATTAAATACTCATCAAAATGCTAAAGACTCCAAGAAAATTCACCAAAACGCCAAAGATACCAAGAAAATTTTCCAAAACTGCCAAAGAATCCCAAGAAAATTCACCAAAATGCCAAAAGACCTAAAAAAAAAAACCATAATTAAAGACCAGTAAATAGCTAAAAGACAGGAAAAAAGTACATTAAATACTCACCAAAATGCTGAAGACTTCAAGAAAATTTACCAAAACGCCAAAGATATCAAAAAAATTCTCCAAAACTGCCAAAGACCAAAGATCCCAAAAAAATTCACCAAAATGCCAAAAAATCTAAAAAAATAAACATAATTAAAGACTAGTAAATAGCTGAAAAGTATATTATAGCTGTTTTTATAAATTCTGAGATACCTAAAAATTTCTTGTTTTTCAAAACCTCTTCGGTTTTATTCTAAAAATCACCTATCTTTTCGGAAACTACTTCGCTATACTTGGAACTTCAATATGAAGACAGCAAAATAGTTTCTGAAAAGTTAAATAATTCTAAAAACAAAATCGAAGAGGTTTCGGGAGAGGAAAAAATTTTCAGATGTCCTAGAATTTATAAAAACAGCTGTAAATACTTATCAAAATGCTGAAGACTCCACCAGAACCACTAAAAACTGAAGATTCCAAGAAAATTCATCAAACCACCGAAAGATCTAAAAAAAAAACATAATTAAAGACCAGTAAACAGCCAAAGGACAGGAGAATAATATATTAAATACTTACCAAAATGCTGAAAACTCCAAGAAAATTTACCAAAACACCGAAAACTCTAAGAAACCAAGATTTTTCAAAAGTGCCGAAGACCAGAGTTCCTAAGAAAATTCACTATAATTAAAAGATCTAAAAAAAAAAAAAAAGAGAACATAACTAGTAAATAACTAAAAAAGATAGGAGAAAGGTATATGAAAAACTCACCAAAATGCTGAAGACCCCAAGAAAATGCTAAAGACCAAAGATACAAAAAAAATTCACCAAAAATACCGGAAAACTGAAGATCCCAAGAAAATCCACCAAAATGCCAAAAGACCTAAAAAAAATAATGATTAAAGACTAGTAAATAGCTAAAAGACAGAAAAAACTAAATGAAATACTTATTGAAGACTCTAAGAAAATTCTTCGAAAACACTGAAGACTAAAAATCCCAAAAAAATTCACCAAAACACTGAAAAAGAACATAATTAAAGAGCCTAAAAACTAGAGAAAAGTATATGAAATACTTAACAAATTTCAAAAACCCCAAAAAAATTCAAGATACCGAAAGACCAACATCACCAAAATTTGCAAGGAGATTACTATCGATGTTAATCGGTTATTAGATAGTAATCGATATAAATACCCCCTGACAATGACTATTGAGTTAGTTAGTAATTAATATATATCAATATATATCAGTTAAAAAAAAAACTGATTAGTAGTGATTAATATCAAATAACGATTCAAATTGATTTTTTCTAATTGTACCAATATCAATACTATTATACTATATACTTATTACTCATGTTTAATAAATTAATTTTAATATCAATATCAAATATTACTTTTTATAATGCAAACAAATACAATTTAATTTTATTAATTGAAAAATAAGCAATACAAATCACTAATTACATACAACAAATGTGACTAATTAAAGCTAAACTAATCAGCATAGCTATCAACCTCCAAAACCCAAACAATTCATCCAAATCTTCTTGCGATTGAATAGCTACCGAACCACTACCCTGAGAAGGAGTCCTAGATATTCTACTCATTGTATCAGATTCAGGAGTGTTGTGTCGTGAATCAGAGGGATGCCAAACCTCTAATTCATTCACAATCACTTCAGACGAATCATACAACGGACCACCAGTATTAAAATTGGTTTATATTTATTAAAACGTTAGTATTTTAAAATATTATATAATAAAAGAAAAAAAGAAAAATGTCAGATATTTACAAGATACTTTTCAATATGATGCTTCATACTTTTTTCGTCGCATGTTATACTCTTGGATCTGGGATTCAAGAATATATCACACACTGCCAGCGCAAAAGTGCAGTGTTCACTCATTAATATAGGAACTGCAACTTCCGAAAATGCAGCCCTTGTAATCGTGGTGATCCAAAACACATCATCACTATTTTTTTTAAACAATAAGCGATATCAATCGCCTATTTTTGGATTTTCTTTCCATTTAACAATTGCTGGGGCCTTGGCGTTGCTTTTCAAGGAGGGCAACTGTTCCGCACCAAATGTTTTCCACAT